TAGTGCCGTGTTTGCAACTATATCTGACCCAAAACCATGACGAATCAGAGCTGCATGAGCTTGCTTAGCATGTTCAAGTGAAGCTAATCTCGTGCAAATTCTTATAATGATTGAAAACGTGAAATGGTCCATATTAACACCAGAGTCACGCATCTCTTGATACATACTCAGAGCTTCCTCACTGTAACCATGGAGAGCATAGCCTGCTATAATAGAATTCCATCCTACTGTAGTCTTCTCCGGCATCAGATCAAAAACACATTGAGCATCTTCAATGCTTCCACACTTGCTATACATATCAATCAATCCACAAGACACAAAAATATCATCACCTACACCCATCTTCATTGCACACGAGTGCAACTGTCTTCCCACAGCTATGAACCCTAGTCCAGCAGATGCCCGAATCATCGTTGCAAACCTGCGAGATCCACCATCAGAATACTCCTCCCACATAATTAGAAACAACCGAAATGCTTCTTCATAATTCCCTGATTCCACTAAGCCGGCAATAATGGTGTTCCATGAAACCAAATTCTTCTCCGGCATTTCATCAAACAGCTTACGTGCATCAACCATCATACCACATTTCACATGCATAAGCAGCACCCTGTTCCTCATGTACTGATCTGGAACAAATTCATTACTAACCATGTAATTAAAAACCCTCTTCACTCCTCTAATAGATTTCAAACCAATGCACGCACTCACTAACGCATCATACGTGCTACTATCCACATCAAAACCGCCTTTAATTTCCAAAATCTCAAATAAGTCAAGCGCCTCCGCGTACCTATTATACAAAACCAATTTCTCTATCTGACTACAAATTTCTACACTAGGTTTCTTGCTCCGCGTATCTTCTAAGTGAGTTTCTTTTACATCTTCAATGTTAATTCTCGACGGTGTCTGTTTGGGCCGCGGTTTCAACCCTCGTTCCAGTTGCGAACACTTGATTTTATCAAAAGGATTCCTCCATTTTCTTCCATTACACGGAAAGTGGTACCCAGAGAGTAAAGAATTTCGCTTAAAAACCGTATGATCTGTCAAAGGGAAGGGAAAGCTGCAACTATTTTGGATCTGATCCAATGATATGCTCTGGAAACGACCAAGAGGTACTTCCATGATAAAAAAAAAAGGCAAATACTAAGAACAAAAAAAGTACCTCTGAGACGTTCTAATGTTAGCTGTGAAGAGAAACAGATCAAACTTGAAATTTAGGATGAAAAAATGGCGCAGCGGTGTTGTTTGAATTGCTGGTTGCCTTGGCTTCTTGTTCATAATTTTCGAGAGAAATTGTGTATATTAAACACATCACTGATACAACCAGCATCGAGAGGTCCGCCGAAGTGACAGTTGCGTTAGTTGGAAGTTTCAACGAACACTGCGAGATATTTGGGATGGAGGGAACGGCAGAAAACGATGCGTTTTTACTAAATGCTGGCGTTTTGAAAGTATATCATCCGCCGAAGGAAAGAAACCCATGGGTCAACCAAAACGGTGGCGTTTTCCAGTTAGACCCGCACGATCATCAAGCACTGAAACGCCTGCGTTTTGAATGTATATCATCGGCCAAAGGAAAGAAATCCATGGGTGAACCAAAACGGTGGCGTTTTTTAGTTAGACTCGCGCGATCATCAAGCTCTGCACGGAACACGACGCCGTTTATGCTGTAAAGGGCGCAGTGACTGGTAAATTGAATTTGAATCGTCGTGTTGCCTGTCGATACCAATCCACTTTCCGGAGACTCAGAGAAGGAGACTGAGCTTCTTTTGGACCTGTGAGGGGGTGCGCCTGTAAGAAATGGCACCCCATGATATCCGCCGTCCGTTCAAACGACCAGCAATCTCCGATCAGCAGAGGAGAAGAGAACTCTCCCTGCAACGCCAAGCACAGCAACGGCGCGACGCCCAACAACAGGTCCGCTGCTTGGCTTCTTCCGTGCTTTCCCTCCAATTTCCAACTCACGAAACCGAACTCGAACCCCTACCCGAGTCCTTTCACGAACACGAAGCCCAACTGGGAACCAAACCCGAAGAGGAATCCGAACCTCGATCCGGGGACCTTGATGTGCGCCAGGCTTCGAAGCTCAGAGGAGCTGAAGCCCGCAAGTGGTTCGCGAGGCAGCTGATGCTACCTGAGTGGATGATCGATGTCCCTGATCGCTTGAGTGAGGACTGGTATTTTCTCTCTAACTCTCTAGCTGTACTTTGTTCATTTCTTTATCATCGTCGTGAAATTTATTGCATTATACTATGCAGTAAAATGTCAAATATGTGAAAAACTTATGCCAAGGAAGCAGCAGTAGCAATTAGTCTCGATAAGGCGTTAGAATTATTCTTTATATACACACACGTATAGTTTTGGTGCATAAATTTCCTGTTTTATTTGTTAGGTACGTATTGGCGAGGCCTGCTGGGAAAAGATGCTTCGTTGTTTCATCAAACGGAACAACAGTGAGCAGGCTGAGAAATGGCTCCATTTTGCATCATTTCCCTTCTGCTTTACCTGCTGGTGCAAGGACACGAGACGTTTCTGGCTCTGTTCAGTCATATTGTATATTAGACTGCATATTTCACGAGGTAGAGATTCATTTTTTTTTTTATTCCTTACTAGTTGCATTTTGTTCTTTTTTGGAGGAAAAAATAAACATTAAGCTGTTTGTGGTTTGCAGTTGGATCAGACATACTATGTAATAGACATGGTTTGCTGGCGCGGTTACTCTCTGTATGACTGCACAGCTGAGTTCAGATTTTTTTGGTTGAACTCCAAGCTTGCCGAGACTGGAGCTTGTGATCCTCCATCGCGTTATCATAAGTTTAGATTCAGCACAATTCCTGTGTACAACTGTGACCAGAGTGGTTTCTATGAAGCATATACAGTAGCCGTGCCTTATGTCAAAGATGGCCTGTTGTTTTATAACAAGTAAGTCCTTTAGCAAGGGTTTGGAATAACACTAATGCCAAAAACTTATCTTTTCTCATGTTACCACTTGATGAACCTCTTTGTAATGGTTCCCCATAGCTCCTGTTATTTCTTGTGATGCTGTTTGAACCTTCAGAAATTTGTCCAGTTTGCAATTATAGATCACTGCATTGCTTAGGTTTCAGGTTGTAATTCAGTGGACTGTGTTATGGGTGTTGTTTGAAATGTGCTGAGCTAGTTAGCCAGAAGGTAAGCACCTATGCAGTTTTGGTGGGCCTATAATTGCTAGCAGCTGCTAACCTTTCAGCATCTGCTCTCCTGCTTATTCAAGTGAAGGATCTTCTGTCTTTTCTCTTTGTTAGGCTGTCTCAAAATATTTGACTCCGATGACTCTTGAAATGTAACTTATAAATGAAAATTTTATGTGGTGTAATTTGGTTTAGCGATAAGCTCTACAGAGTACAGAGGCCATGAGTATGCATTTAAGTAGAAAGAACCCTCTAGGAAAAGAGGAAGTTGATTAAGATGCTGAGTAGAGAGAGAGCACATGTTTTTGTTTTATTCCGAAATTAAATTTCAAATGGTGGGATCAGATATGGTAAGATGTCAATGGTGATACATGAGGTTTCTGGGTGGGCCTATCAGTTGAAGTCATCTAGCTGTCTTAACTGCATAGTCTTTTTTAGAGTGTTCTGAGTTTTGACTTGTTGATTGCTTTTGTATAGATTGATTTCTGACAGATTGTTCTTCAAATTTCACTCTTTCATATACCTATGTTGGCTGCTTATATATTCAAAGTTTCTAAAATAAAAATACATTGACTGCTTGATTTTTTACATAAAAAAATTACAGTCACACTTCTTGTTTACTTCTTGATTTTCTAAATTATATTGGATCAAGGTACCACTATGTTAACTAGACTCTGCTGCTGTTTACTTCTTGTTTCTTTTCTCTTTGAGTTTTTTTTTTTTTTTTAACTAGTCTAGATGGCGCACCCAGTTGATTCATAGAGTCAGATGATAGGCTCACTATGGCTACTGCTTAGCAGTATGAATTTTCTTATTTTGTAGTTTGGCATCTATTTAGCTGTTTTAAGTTATCAATATTTTATCATGATCAACCTTTGGTGAAGAGGCTAGCCTGTTTTTTTTGTGCTACTCTGCTGTATGATGGTAACTAAGAAGATCCTAATCAATCAATCAATCAATTAAATATGTCAAAGTATGTACTAAAGTTTCACCTCAAAGAAAAAATTATGTGCTGAGGCTTTGAACATCTCCATAAAAGGGGTAAAATCGAAGGGTGTTAAGAGGGTGTTTGGCTTAGCTTCTCCTTTTTTGTTTGGTCAAAGGTAGCTTATAAACTCTCTAAGAATTCGGTAACATGCTTTGTCTAAGATGAAGAGGTTATGAGCTTAGTACCTCATAAACTCTCTTAAGAACTTATTTTGAAAGCTGGTGATGTAACTTTATTTTTAAAGAAAAAATATCTTTTAAGCTCTCTAAAACAAGCTGGTGGTGAGTAAGAAAATGGCAATGTTATCTTTTGAACTTTAGTATTTAAAGTTAAAAATTATTTCTGAAACCTTTTTTTTAATGTTTTATTTGATTAAAAAACAAAATGTAAGCATAGTTTTAACGAATCAAATTAGCAGTGTAAAACCCTAAGCTAGTGCAGAGCTTATAAGCTCCTCTATTTTAAGCTAATGTCAAACACCCTGTAAGTATCATTCTCATTCTACTAATATTTTTAATCAATTTGAACTTTGGAACCTATTAGTGTGTCATGGTATATCTCATCAAGTTTTATAGGCTCTGGTTATGTTTCTGCTTGTGTTCCTTTCCTTACTGGATTTTGCATTGTTTTTTTCCCTCAGGCATGCACATTATCAAAGTGGGAACACACCTCTAGTATTAGTGTGGAAAGATGAAAATTGTAGTCAATATGTTATTGACACAGATAATAAGGGACAGATTCCTACCCAACAACAGGTATCTTAACATTACATTCTGCATGTATTTATGCTTGTATTGAAGATTGAAAGAAGTCAGGGAGGGGTTTGGGTGGGGGTTGGGTTGGGGTTGCGAGCGGCGGGGGAGAAAGAGAGAAAAACTGATAGGTTAGTCTTTTGAAAGCTAATGTTGTTTAGCTTGTCTACTGGGTTTATCTTCTGCTTAAGCATCAGCATCAACTAAAGCAAAAATTCTGGTTTTTTTTAATCAATCTGACTAAACACCTTATTAGTTCTACCATCAATCATGCTGCAATGAAAGCATTAGCTCCAGCATTAAATGAGAAAAACTGAATTGATTCAACTCATGCAAACAGCTTTCTTGAGATATAACTTTATTGTTTTGTCAT